GTGTTGGAAAATACTTATCTGATATATGTTCATCATTTTCATATCCATTATTAAAGGTTTAGTGTGGTCCCCCATTTTTTTGTTGTATATAATTCTACAAGCATGTTTTTGTAAGGAAAGAATTTTTTTAAGTTTTGTTGGTGGACAACTTGCCCGCGTAACATTTGCATGAGTAATGTAACAATGAATTAAGCTGAAGTATATAAGCTTTAGGCTAAGTGAATTTAAGTATGGGCGAGTTCGATACATAATACTAATGGTTCTACTAATTTTTGATTGTATATATTTTATGTGTGGGAGCCACAATAACTCCTAAAAACTTTATAGTATCTTGTTTTTTAATTTGTTTATAATTTATAATAAGTTTTGGCAGTTTTAGAGGAAGGTTTTCTTCTTCTTTTTTTTTTATGAAACAAGGTATATTGTGTTTTTTTCAACGTTAAGAGAAAGTTTATTTGACCTGCAGCCGTATTCACGTCTCTCCGTTAAATTAACGGAGAGTTCAAGTGACCGTTAAGAAAAAAATTGTTAACGGGCCGTTACGAAACGGATGGAGAAAAATAGTATTCTTGTCCTTCCGTTAAGTCACCGTTTATTAACCGCTCCATTAACTTTGCCAGTTAAACTTCTTCCGTTAGCCCGCTTCGTTAGCTAACTTTCGTGCTGTTTTTTACATAGCACGATGCCAACTGGCACATAATATTGTTTAGATGGTACATCACAGCGTTATTTTTTTAAATGTTTGCTGCGTAATTTTTCAAACTTAATTTAAACAAGTTAAAGTAATAAGCCGTTTTAGGACTTGTACTAAGGACTAATAACCGTTTTAGACTTGTACTAAGTACTAATTTTTTATATTTTAAAAATGTAAAAAATTTATATAATTTATATAATAGAGTTAAAAAATATATAAACACCATCAAAAAAATTGAATTGGAGCTACATAAAATTATGAAATAGAGTTACTCTATACAACTCTATCGCTCTATAACAAATTAACAACAAATACAAAATTAATAAACCATTTATTATTATAAAAAAGGAATTTGAAAATGAGTAAATTTATTTAGATAAAATATGTTCAAAAATGTCGCAAAGCAAAATCATCACGAAATCGGAAATTTTTTTCAGCTACTATATCTTCATTATCATTTTCATCATTTTCAATTGGATTTTCATCCATGTCTCCGTCATTTAACTTTTAGTTACATTTCAGAGGAGAAGTTAAGAGAGTTACATTTCAGAGGAGAAGTTAAAACTTAAGGAAGAAGTTTTAAAGTTACAAGCTGAAAGAGATTATTTCATTTCTAAAAAAGAGTAAGTCGACTTGGAAAAAAGAAATCCATCTATAAAAGAAAAAATACTTTTTTTAAAAGAAAGCTATTTAAAAAAAAAGAACGAAGAATGTTTAATTTTTAAGTGATTTAATTTCAATTTATTGTTGATTATTTTGTAATTATTTTTATATAATAATAAGAACTTATGAAATAAATTTTTATTTAACTTTTCTTTTGCTTAAGAATAAATTTTTTGTCTCTAATTCGGACTCTTTCCCAGTTTTTATGTTCTTAGAATACTGATAAACTAATTTTTTATTATACTTGAAGATTAAAAAATTAAAACAAATAATAATGAATGTATATTCTCAGAAAATCATCGCAAATTAAAAAAACATGCTCTGTAAATAAATTTATTTAATAAATGTAAATTTAAAGACACAAAATTTGTTTTATAAGAAGAACCTAAGTTTTCAGTTTTTTTCTGTCGAACAATTGCTAAAATTATTATTATGGTTAATTGTTCTCCATACTGTTTTGCTTTTAAGATATTCAAATCAGCTACCATTAACAAATAATTTTTTTTTTTTTTAAACAATAACAAATCATAACGAAACAATTAAAAATTGTTTCTTTTGTGCTTATGAATTTCTAATGAACACGATTCTGCTCAAAATTTTATCTTTTCTGTTTCATTATCATTAAATGTTGTATATAACTTCATGTTCCAACATCTGCTTACATGGTTTCACATCACTTTCCAAAACTTCAATGTTTTATTTTGATGTTTATCTCCTATCAACCTAAATCACTTATAATTTAGGTATAAAATGTTATAGATAAATAAATATATATATATATATATATATATATATATATATATATATATATATATATATATATATATATATATATATATATATATATATATGTATGTATATATATATGTATGTATATATATATATATTTATATACATATATTAAATGTATATATATATATATATATATATATATATATATATATATATATATATATATATATATATATATATATATATATATATATTTATATACATATATTAAAAGTATATACATATATTAAATGTATATATATATATATATATATATATATATATATATATATATATATATATATATACATATATATATATATATATATATATATATATATATATATATACATATATATTTATATACATATATTAAATGTATATATATATATATATATATATATATATATATATATATATATATATATATATATATATATATATATATATATTTATAAACATATATACATATATATATATATATATATATATATATATATATATATATATATATATATATATATATATATATATATGAATATATATATATATATAACGTATATATATATTTATATGTAACATATATATATGTATATATACAAATATATAACTAGACACCAGGGCTGTGGAGTCGGAGTTGCAGAATTGCGACATTTTAAGTGGAGTCTGAGTCGCTCAACAAAATTGCGACTCTGACTCCAATTGTAAAACTTCTCTGAATTGCACGTGCATGTACAAAACATTCAATTAACCTTATGTTCATACTAAACCTCAAAGAACATTTCATAAAATTGTAAAATAAAACAACAATTTTTAACTTATCGCGTAATTTTAGTTGGAGTTGTACTTAAAAAATTTCAATAACTGGATTTGGAGTCGTTACTTTTTTTTTACAACTCCACACTCCTGCTAGACATTATACATCTATACATTTTATATATATATATATATATATATATATATATATATATATATATATATATATATATATATATATATATATATATATATATATATATATATATATATATATATATATATATATATATATATATATATATATATATATATATATATATATGTATATATATATATATATATATATATATATATATATATATATATATATATATATATTGCATTTTATAGTACGTGCATTAAAAACAATATAAATAAAATGTAGCGATTTCAGTATTTCACGTGATAAAACAGTAATGTTGTATACATGTTGTCAACATGTATTTTAAAGTATAATGTCTAATTAAAATGCATTAGCGATTTAATAATTAAAGATTTAACTATATAAACATTATATAGTACATAATATAACTTATTTAGCCTAAAACTAAACTTGTTTAAACAAATAATAAACAGTTTATTCAGGTGTTATTGATGAGAAAAATTCAACATATTATTTTGTTCGGATATTATTTAAAATATTTTAGAAAATTTCTCCGTTTTCGGTTTTAACTGTAGGGTATAGCAGAGTTAGATTTTACCGTTAACTATCTTCCGTTAACTTTATTTTAACTAAACGGAGGACACGAGAATACGATTTTTTTTTTAACGCCGGTGTTAAAAACTGCCGTTAAATTTTAACCAGCCGTTTAAAATTTAACGGCAGTTTTTAAACTTAACGCAGGGTTTAACGGAAAGACGTGAATACGGCTACTGAACCAATCATTTATTTTTTTCTAATTCAATGTTCATGTCAGCATAAAGTTGATTAATATTGCAGTTAGATAAAAATAGATTTGTATCGTCTGCAAACATGATAGCATTTAGTTTTAATGATGCATTATTAAAATCATTAACATAAATTAAAAATAAGAGCGGTCCTAGGATCGATCCTTGAGGCACTCCACACAGAATATTTATTCCAGATTTCTTGTTTTGAACATATTGTTTTCTATTAGATAGATAACTTTTTATCCAATGATATAATTTATTGCATACCCCGTACCATTTTAGTTTTTCTAACAGAATAGAGTGATCAACGGTGTAGAATGCCTTGGATAAATCTATGAATACCCCGAGAGTGGACTTATCATTTTCAAAACCATCAGTTATTTGGTCAACTAATTCAATAATGGCATGTTCTGTTGAATGTTTTTTTTGAAATCCGAATTGTTTTGGATTAAAAAATTTGTTTTTTGTAAAATAATCAAATATTCTAAATACTAAAAGCTTCGCTGGTATTATGACAATTATAAACATCATTCCAATTTTCTAAATTTAATTTATTCGATAGTTTATTTGTATTATTGATGGTAAAGTTACGTTTTTTTAAATTTATAAACTTTGGCTGAGTATCCATAAATTTTTTTTTAATAGTAATGTAGATCGGGAAATGATCGCTTATATCTGTTTTAAAAATGCCTGACTGAAATGACGTTTCTAAGTAATTGTTAATAAGTATATTATTAATTGCTGTTTTTGAGGTTTTATTCAACCGAGTAGGTTTATTGATTACTCACGGTTTAAGTTTAAGCATTTCCGGACATTTATTATGCGCATGCGTTACTTTAAAAACAACAACAACATCGTAATTTTGACTTTTTTTTTGTTATGGTTTTTTATCGTAACCTAATAAAAAAGGTCATATCATTGCTTTGAAGATGTTTATACCAGATATAAATTCATAAACTAATAAAATATATGGCCAAGGAAAACACATTAATTTAAAATACTTAAATTTGTTATTTTTTATGTAATAAAAAACGCGGGAAAGTCGGAAATTATTTTATGGTCATCCTAATTACTAAAACATATTAATTAGGCATTTATTAGAATTTTTATGCCTTAAAGCTGTACATATTTTAAAAGAAGAAGGTTTCAACTTTATAATAAAAAAAAAATCAGAGTCCGGTTACTTTTTTAAGTTTAAAAATTTTGTATATCAAATCTTATATTTTAGCAATAAAAAAACATACAAAAATGACTGAGTCTTATGAAACAAAACTAAAAACATTATGCAGAATATGTGGAGAAAGTGTAGATAATGATAGTGTTCTTTTAACAAAACACATTGCTAGAATAGAATTTTGTTTTTTTATCCGAATCGATAAAGACCACTCAAATATACATCCTCAAAAAATGTGTTATAGATGCTTTTCAATATTAAGAAATATTGAAAAAGGTTCAAACACTGAACTAAAATTAAGATCATGGCCTGAAAATTGTAATCTAACTGAATGTGTTTGCTTTAAATCCAATAAAGGAAGAAAAAAAAGAAAAAGATAAGTAGAAGACCTTCGAGTATTAGTTATAAAGAAAATAATTGGACAAGACACAAAATAAATAACATACAATCTAATTTTTTTGAATTTTTCATATTTAATCATAAATCTCAGAATTGAAAATACTGCTTGAAGCAGACCATATAAAGAAATCATTTGGGCCACTTGTAAAAGAACTAGATAAGGTACTTAATTCATTAGGAGTACAAAGACAAGCATACCACGGGAAAAGTTTTGTTGGTAATCATGTTAACAAAATGTTAAAGGTAAAATATATCTAATATATATTTCCTAAATTTATAAAATCTACTCTTTACTAAAAACAAAGTGTACCTAAACTTAAATGTACAATACAATATAAATATATGTGCGTATGTGTGTGTGTGTGTGTGTGTGTGTGTGCGTGTGTGTGTGTGTGTGTAAGTGGAATAGATGGCTTATACTAACATTATTAGACATAACTAAATACGTAATTAACAACAGTTGCTACATATGATACATTTTTCACAATTATTTTATATACTAAATTAGGAGAAAAGTATTCTTGAACTTTGCAACTCCATACCAAACCTTGTAGTCGAACTTGGGTTCAATGACACTAATATACACAAAGAAACTATTGAAATTTGTAAAAACTTCAAGGTACTCTTCTCTAAATTTGGAATTTGTCACAAGCTTATTAACTCCTGCAATCAGTTCAATGAAGATAAGAAACAGGACCTTGGTATGTCATATGTTATTTTTTGGCAGAACAAAATAAATAGACAAAATCATTAACTATTTGATCTTCATCTTTGCTTTTTTAAGTCATTGTGTTATATAAATATATATATATATATATATATATATATATATATATATATATATATATATATATATATATATATATATATATATATATATATATATATATATATAGACATATATATATATACATATATATATATATATATATATATATATATATATATATATATATATATATATATATATATATATATATATGTATATATTATATATATATATATATATATATATATATATATATATATATATATATATATATATATATATATATGTTAATCATTAACTATTTGATCTTCATCTTTGTTTTTTTAAGTCATTGTGTTATATATATATATATATATATATATATATATATATATATATATATATATATATATATATATGTATATATTATATATATATATATATATATATATATATATATATATATATATATATATATATATATATATATATATATATATATATATATATATATATTGGTTACAGAAAATCAAATCAAAGATTTCATGAAGTACTTTCGTGAAAACTGGCCAAACGCTTCAATCACACCAAAGCTTCATATGCTGGAGTACCATGCATTACCTTTCATTAGAAAATGGGGAGTAGGACTAGGTACTTATGGAGAGCAAGGTGGAGAAAGTATTCATGCTGAAATCAACCGTATGAAGAGTATCTACTGCCATATGAAAGGAGTAGGTAGATTAAGAAGCATAATGAATGAGCATTTCATAAAAAACAACCCAACTGTAAAAAAATACCAAAAAAAAGCTCAACCAAGAAAAAGAAAATTGTAGATACTAAAAATAATCCGATAAAATACTGCAAAATGATTTACAGATAATAAATGGCAGTAATAAAGCCTCCATAATATTTCTGTCAGCATTTTTAACCTTTTAAAAAAAACGAAAATTTACCAATCTTTAAAAGCATTATATTATCACAAAAAAAAGTAACCGGTTTTTGATTTTTGCTTTAAATGATTCACAAACTATTATATTTTCAAAAAAAAATTGAGGTTGTCACTAAAAAATTTAAAACTTTAGAATATAGACTATAATGTAAGCACAGGTTAAACTTCGCCTAAAAAATAGCTAAGTTTTAATTTAGTCCCACTTCTATTCTCTTTGTAAAATTATTTAAATGATAGCTTTGATGACACATACCATACCTAAAGTATTGTTTTAATATCATTTCTTATAGGCAATTTAGAAATATCTACAAATAAATCTAATTTAAAGTTTAGACAACTCTATTAGTAGTTTTCTGTTTACTTGCGAACATTATTGTTTACCAACATTTGAATAAAATATAGCGCGTGCGCATAATAAATGTCTATTACTAAACCACCGTGTACTGGCAAGACATTGTATCTAAACAACATTTCAAAAAACGATTTAGTTTTTGGAAAGTTGTGGTAATTCAGCGCGTTTAAATTTATATCACCGGATATACATAATTGTTTTTTTTTTTATTTATTTATTTTCAAAACACTCTTTTCAATAAAACTTTGAAACAATCTGATTTCTCCACATGGTGGACGGTAAACACACCCAATTATAGTATTTTTATTTTTGTTATTAATTGTTTCAATAAAAAGACTTTCATAGTTTTCATTTGCTAAGCATAATTGTTTTTTTTATCTTAAATATATATTTTTCAAGTATGTAAAATCCTAGTCCTCCACCTTTTTTATGATTTCCTCGTGGTTGACTAATTACTTTGTAATTTGGCAAGCTATAATTAGAATTTGATTCAATCGGACTATCTGTTTCCAAGTCTCTGACACAGCTATGACATCGAACGTGTAGTTTATAGTATTTAAAAATACTTTAAATTTTTCAAAGTTTTGACGCATGCTTCTTATGTTTAAATGTAATATAGAAAAAGAATTAATATCTTATTTAATTTTAAAATTATAAGGATCAAAATATGATGTATTCATTAAATTCATTTCAGTTTCTTTAATAATACTCAGAAAAGTTAAGAAAACCCTCAAAAGAATCAAAATTTAAATTTTTAAAATCTTATTTAGCAAAAAAATTTTCAGCCATTTTTAAAAATTAAAAATAAAAGATAAAACAAAAGCTTATTCAAGAACTCATATAAATAATATTGCTTATTTTTAAATAGTCGGCAAAATTTCAACTACATCTACATTTTTTTGCTTAAATTCGTGAACTATTAATTTATTATATAGAACTTTTGCATAATAGCCATTTTGCCTATGAGTTGCCTATGTTATATAATGTTAAAAAATTATATTGTGTTTTATAGTTAGTATATATGTTTATATAATGTTGTTTTCGTGATTTCAAAGTGGTGTGACTTGGAAAACAAGTAGAGCAAGATTTGTCAACCTTACCAGTCAAGCGGTGTTACTGCTTTAGGTGTAAGTGTTGTCTAGCATTCAATATAACTATTCTGAAAATACATAACATCTTTTTATAATTTTTTGTGTAATGTTGTTACCTTTGGCTTATCTTCATGTTGGTGTCTGTTCTTAAAAATGATTAATAGGTAGTTTCATTACTAGAACTTACTGCTTTTTTTATTTATTTTTTTATTTATTTACGAAAAGTCATTCATGACATCATTTCGCCGTAAATACATTTTGTTTATATCACGATTTAATTTTTTCGCAGTGGATAGCCTACCGAAAGTCGGTAGCGGAAAAATAAAAATTATCCTACCGAAAGTTTTTTTTTATTGGTTAAGAAATATCACGTGTCACAATAAAATTGCTATATATATATACTTTTAACAATAGCACTTTTAATGCACTGTAGTGTATCGGATACGAGCTTGGATCCGTAGGCAGGCGCTCCGTGTTCGAATCCTCCCTAAAGGACGTTTTTTACATTTCGATTGTTTTTTTCCATATTTTTTCGCTTATTAATTGAATAAATTATTTAGGGATATACGCTGGGAATAGCACAATGCATTAATAGACGCAATGGAGTGTTTATACACTGACTGATTTAGGGATAGGCACCGAGGAATGTACATGCATTTACTAATTTAGGGAAAGGCGCAGTGAAGTGTACATACATTTACTAGCTTAGGGATAGGCGCAGTGAAGAGCACATACATTTACTAATATAGGGATAGGCGCTGTGTAGTGTACATGCATAGACTGAGGGTTTTGGTATGGGGTGGCAGTCATTTCTATTTGTTTAATGGAAAATCCTATTTAATTTTTTTACATTTTTTACGTTTTTGTTTTTTAAAAATAATATCTTAAATTATCTTCATTTTACGGTATAACAAATATTGTTTATTTTGACATGTGATATTGTCAACCAATAAAAAAAACTTTCGGTAGGATAATTTTTATTTTTCCGCTACCGACTTTCGGTAGGCTATCCACGGCCTAATTTTTTAGAACCATGATGAACCAACATTTTCTAGAAGCTTTCATGAAATAACAATATTTAACAACTACTAATCTGGTATCACAACAGCTTATCTTTATCAGGTACATTGATTTTTAATTCATATAAGGTGTTTTAAATATATACTAATAATTAGTACTAATTATTAGTATATATAAAAATATATACTAATCCAGTCAACATTTCAAGTTCAATATTGCATATACCATTTTAAAGTAGTTTCTAGGCTTTTCTAAATGCTTTTTTTATTCAAGTGGTTTTACAAGCAAGGTCTAAAGGCAAATTTGAGCTGAAAAGTTTTTCATCTTCCAAGGATAATTGATGTTGTTTATATTTATTAAAATCTATTAAAAGATTTCTGTTTAATTTAATTTGTTTAAATAGAGTAGTTTTAAATGTTTGTTTGTTTTTGGTTTTTTGCTTAATTGTTTTCAAATTCTTAAGAACTAGGCTGCTTAGCGAAGCAAGATCTGTTTTATTTTTTAATGCAATTGGAAAGAGCTGAATTGCTTTTTAGTGATTCAAATCAATTTTTTTTTTTGATTTTTTTTAAATGAAGGGTTAATAATAATAAAAATTTTTAGACAGTGGAACTGTTACTGATTTGAGTAAGTTTTATATTTTTTTTTTGTTTTTATTGAATTTATATTATATTAGATATATATTTTATATATTTAACATGGAAAACTAACTGTAATTTGTTGACAGGTAAGTTTATATACATAAATGTGCCTATATTTCAGTATATTTCATATTTCTCTGTATCTATATAAATATTATCTCGAAGAAAAAATAAAAAAGAATACAAAAAAATTGAATATATATATACATACATACATATATTACTTTAGACTGGCATTGCTTCATTTTTTATACAAGATTCTGCATTTATTATTTTTGTGCATTAAGATTGTGCCTGAAGGTAAAAATAACTCTGTGCATTGTAGTCTAAATTCTTTGTTAAATTAAAAGTAATGTAAATAAATTTTGTTTTATATTTTTAATAAACAACTTATATATATAAACTTATAAAAATATATGGATATCAATAAATCTTAATTTAAAATATAGTCTTTGATTAGAAAAGATCACAATTTATTCAGTTGTAACAGTAGTATAATCACTGGTAATATGTTTAATGACAACAGATGTATACTATTAGGCTCGAAGAAGTTATTAGTGTAAATGATAATAGGCGACTTGAAAAAAATTGTCAAATGAAAGAGATAAATTTAGGCATGATGAAATTAATTGTCGTTGAAATTTAAGAAATTCTGCTCAATAAACAGAAAACTTGCTTGCATTCAGTGTCAAACGGTGTTAATGTCTATTAATTTGATTTTACATTAGACACTTTAGAACAAAGCAAAGTATGAATTTTACTATTTATTGTAACAATTAATAATAGTTTCAAATTTAAATGATTATAATTACTTTTTTTTAAATTTTTTTATTTTGTAATCTCAAACATAATTGTGTTCTTTTTTTTTTAGTTGCCTTTGTCATCACTTGATTATTTTGCTTACTGTTGAAACATGGTTTTAATTTTGTAAATTTAATATGATGTGAAATTTACTATATTAATCATTAGTCAACAGTTAGAAAGAAGCTGGAACTTATTTAAGATATGCTGGAACTTAACTTTTAGTTAGGTAAAAATAATTTTGTTTATTGGTAGCATAATAAAACCAGTTACTGTTATTTATTGCATGTTTTTTTCACTTTTTTTTTAACATGCTGCTTTTGAAACACTTCCTCTTAGATGAGACTTAAATGAGAATAAGTACAGGGAGAATTGATAAAACTCATGTAATTACTGAGCTCTTGCGTATTTTTAATACTACAATTGATAATGATTGTTTATTAGATATATTTTACGAGTTGCTTGTTATTTTAAGATATAATTCTTTAAATTGTTCAACTATAATTGTCCCTTGGTTGTTCAAATATTGCACTAAATAAAATCGTTTTAGTTTCAAGTATTTTAGTTAATAAAATATCTTATTAAGCTGTGGTGTTATTTACCAGTGTTATTACATTGTGTTGTCTACCCTTTTTATAATCTTCTTTTTTTTTAGTTACTCTGGAGACATTAATATTAGGTATGTGACATGAAATTTTAAACAAATCAAACATTAGATTGTTATATATTATTAGAAAGACCTTGAAAATAGTATTTTAATCGTAAAAAATTATCAAAATCAAACAACTCGACAAAAAGTTAAAGCGTTTTAAGTAGTAAATTTTTGATATTTGGATTTGTTGAAGAAACCGTGACCAAATTTTAAGTTTTTCTGAATATAAAATGTCATAAATTTGTCAATTCTTATCAAAATTCATACAACTTGGTATCAAAAGAAAGGTCTTAAAAAAGAGAATAAGGATACATAAAAGATGTATGTGGAGCGTCTATAACACCTTTAAATGGGTGTCTAGAAAACCCTTTAGTATGTTCAAAATCAAAATCTTTTTAAAGAAAATATTAATTTTGTTTTTCGTAATTTTTTTTTTTTTTTTGTATTTTTTAATATAATTTACCAGCCCACCAATAAATGTGATTCAGATACTTTGGGTTGGGTTTGTGGAAGCCAACTTGGCTTTGGGTGGTAATAAATGCGCCTTTCTACCCATTGCCACTGACAAATCATTGTATTTTTATATATAAATGTATAACATTTAGTGTAAAGAAAGAAATGTTTTTGAGATAACAAATATATACTATGTGTAAAAAGGGTGCAACAAGGAATACTTTGCACTATCTGTCCCCCCTTCCCCCGCCCTTACTTCAGGTAGACGGGGAAAGGGGGTAAATTATGAAATTAAAAACAATCTTTTTCATTTAAAAATATGATTTATAGTAAAACACAAACTTTTTTTACGAACTAGTTATAAAACAAATCAATATAAATGTTATAAAACAAATTATTAATCATATAAAAATTATAATATA